GAGGAGGAGGAGGAGGAGGAGGAGGAGGAGGAGGTATTCGTTTCGATCGGCCCGTTCATGTTGCCCCATGCTGCAGATGGGTTTCTCGAGGATGCCAGGGGCCTCCTCCGTCGAAGAGCAGGCAGCGGCGCGAACATGAGCTTTCGAAGCTCCGCGCGGGTCTCTTGGATCAGTCCGACGCTGGTCCCACGAACCCGCGCGGAGCTCTGAAAGTGTATGGTCATGCTCAGGAGGAAAAAAAAAACACAGACACAATCAATCGGCGATTCCCCAGGAAAAGATGCGAAAATATGGGAAGTGGGGGGGAAGACAAAAACCCAGAAAATATGGGAGAATATGGGGAATATTTGTATTTGTGTGTATTGATTTGTGTGTTCTGGGGCCCCTTTACATGCCGCCACTCCGGAGCGCAGGGAGCACCGCGCTCCGCGCGCCGCGCTCTGGGCCAGCGCGGCTGCCCCTCTCAGATGGGGGGGGGGCGGCGCGAGGGCGCAGAGGGCGCAGAGGTCGCCGCACGTCGCGCACCGCGGGTGCGCGAAGGTTGGTGAGCTGGGTATTTCCGGTGTCGGCACCTAGGGGGCCACATGCGGTGTTCGAAGCTTTCTGGCCCTCGGGGTCCTCCTCTAAGTCACGGCTGGACGCGACTCGAAAAAGTTGTGCGTTTGGACCCGGGAGGAGTCCGAAGGCTTCCCTCGGAACGGATTTGGGGGGTTTAGGGGTACGGCGAGGGGGAAGACAGCAGCCTGTCCGTTGTGCCATCACTGTTTCTTATGTTGTGGAAGGGCGGGTGGGAATGGGCATGCCATGCTTGGCTCGCTCGAGCTGGCTAGCTTGATGCGAACCCTACCCCTGCCCCCCACGATTTCTGAGGGGGAGGGTGGCCCCCCAGGCGCTGACCAGGGTCTGCTTGCAAAGCTCATCGCACGTCGCGCATCGCGGTGCGCGATGCGCGAAGTTGGGTGAGCTGGGTGTTTCTGTTGGTGCCGGCGCTGACCAGGGTCTGTTTGCTCGATCTGGAGCCCCTTGGCTCCCAGGGTGGCCAAACCCGGACCTCCGACGTCGTGCTCGCTTCGATCCGTCGGGCGTCTGAGCTCTCGGCGACGCAGCCTCTCTGTGCGGCTTTCGCGCGCCGGGGGCCGTCGCTGGCGGCCCCGGGGGCCCAGCGCGTGCTTCTGGAGGCCCACGCTCAGAGGAGCTGGCCGCCTCGAGCTGTCCAGGACGTCGGAGGTCCGGGAGCGGCCACTGGAGCAGGCCGTGGCGAGGTACAAGATCAGGTTTTTCTCCACGGCCAGCGTCGCCGTCACGCGGGTCTGACGCCGCCCGACGCCCACGGCCTGCTGCTGCGACCAGACATTCCGCCTGTGGGACTCCCCGCTTGTGGGGCTCCCCGGCTTCCTTTCCTTCCTCTCTTCCTCCTCCACCCTCTGCGGAGTGAGCCTTAGCTGGACACATACATGTACACCGATCCTGGCCAGTCGAATCCTGGGCCAAGGATTGGTGAACACGCCTTCATGGCGAGACCAGGAGGGTGTGAGGAGAGGGAGTGCTCCCTCCTTCCTCTTCCTTGCCTCCCTCCTCCCCTCCATCCTCCAGGCTCACCCCCTTGGCTACTTCTGCAGGACTCGTGCGCTCGTTCAGAATTCGCGCACGGTGTACAGCTCGAGCACTGGGAATTCGTCTCCTCCGCCCTTTTGGAGGGTCCAGCTGCTGCAGTCCGATTCCTCCTTCGAATTTCCCTCTGGCTTCGGCTGTGCCGTAGCGTGCTCGCTATCTGGAGCGGCGCGCTTGAGAGCTGAGGACATTCTTCCTTGCGCCTCGCCCCGCCCTTTCCTCCTCCTCCTCCTCCTCGTCCCCCACCTACTTCCCCCCCCCTCGTGGCCATCCTCGGCCTCCTCGTCGTCGTCCTTCTCCTTGTCCTCCTCCTCTCCTCCTCCTCCTAGATTCTTTTCTTATCAATTATTCTTCCCTGTCTCACCCCGAGGGCCGTCGAAAGGGCGGGCCGGGAGTTTCGCTTGAGACTTCCTCACCATTCATGATCCTGAAGCGTCGGAATTGCAACAGCTTCACGGATGGAGGGCGGCCCGCTTTCAAAATGTGGCTCCCGCCTCAGCGCAGTGCACATTCGATTCAAACATGTGCAATAGTTTCACGGAGGGAGGGCGGACGGTTTTCAACATGTTGTTCTCGCTCTCGCGCCGTGCACATCCGCTTGAAACACATGCACGAATTTCACATATTGAGGAGGGGTCGTTGTGAAGATGTGGCTCTCGCCTCAGCGCCGCGCACATTCGTTTTACCACTGAAGAGAGTTTCGCGACTAGAGGGTGGGTTGCTTTCAAAGGCTCTCGCCTCAGCGCCGCGCACATTCGTTCGAAACAAGTGGAAGAGTTTCACGGATTGAGAGCGGTTCCTTTTCAAAATGTGGCTGTCGCGTTAACGCCGTGCACATCAGCTTCAATCTTTGCCAGCAGTTTCAAGGATTGGCATGGTTAACGTGCTA